TAGTATGAAAATATTGCATACTTTTGTATTATTTAAAGTCTAAAAATAATTGCAATGGAATTGATTCGGCATACGTTATTTCATGAACAACATGTAGATATGTATTTTTAGATTTCCAATCATGCAGCTGTCTAGCACAATAGTTACTCGTGAATGCTATGAATTCTGTTAAAAAAGTCATTTGTATGCATGAATGTGTGATAATAAAATGAAAGATATTTTAATTTAATAGTCACCCGTGTTTCATTTACAATAATATGTCTACTTAATGTATATCATATAAATAAACATAAGTAGACTTCAAATTAAAATCGTATCATGGTACAATCTCATATTTTTAACAACTATTGTGAAATAATCCCATACTTTACTATATATATATATATTTAAATAAGCTTTCTATTATTGCCAATTATTATGTATAAAAAGACCTATGTACATAATTAGAAATATTTAATCTGAGATAATTAGAAGTATTTCATTTATATCTATCTTCTATTCTCCAAAATCTGTAATATAAGTAAAATTTATATAAAAAATAATTTTTTTTTATATCATTAATATTACAAATAGTATTACAAAAATTATTACAAACCCATGTTAACTGCCGCCATTCGTCCTCATTTAATGTATGCTTTATTTTCACTAAAATATTTGCTGGAATTTCAGGAGGTGTGGAAGTATGTTCTCCTGTAGTCATAATATATTCTACTTCCAAAAGTTCAGCTACTGTTGGTCGTGCTTTTGGATTATGTTGAAGACATTTTCGCATTACATCAATTAAAATTTGTGGTGAAAATGTAACTTTATTACCATCTTCTGACAGAGATTTAGGAAAAGGAATATTCAAGTTTGGATTGGTTATAGCATTTACTTTAGCCCATTGTGATCGAATATGATGAAATGGTGTATGACCATATACTAAACTATATAAAATACATCCTAAAGACCATACATCTGATTTAAAACTTATCTGTAAAATAAATATTTGCATATAATTTTTCTCTTTAATCTCTATTTTTATATATAAAAAATTTATTTTTATACTTTATATTTAACATTCTGTGTAGGAGAATCTGAATTTCCACCAATATCCATTAATGCTTCTGGACTAATATAATTTAAAGTTCCTATTGGACAATTTTTTACAACAGATGTCATATCAGCATTCATACTAGAAGCAATTCCAAAATCTATAAGTTTCAATCGTCCCCGTACTAATAAAAAATTTGCTGGTTTTAAATCAGAATGAATTACTCCTAAAAATTTATATGAAATAGAATTATTTATATATAAACTATTTAATAAATAATTTTTTTACATTAAGATATTTACCATTATCATGTATATGCTTAACAGCTGTTAACATTTCTGTCCAATAATATAAAATCATTGTAAGAGGAATTTGTTTTTCTTGAGATGTTGTTTTTAAAAGACGACTGAGATCAGTATCTCCCATTTCCATTACTACATATACCATTGGATATTTAATTTCACTAAAATAAAAAACTTGAA